CTGAGAACTTCATATGCCATTCTAAATCTCCAGCTGGGGCTCTTATCTTATTTGTGAAGAAGAAAGATGGATCTCTGTGAATGTGTGTAGATTATCTAGGACTCAACAAGATCACCATCAAAAATAGATATTCTTTGCCATTGATTTCAGGACTTCTTAACCAACTCAATGAAGCAAAGATTTATACCAAAATAGATCTACGAAGAGCATACAACTTAATTCGTATCAAAGAAAGAGATGAATGGAAGACTGCTTTTCGAACTAGGTATGGACATTTTGAATATAATGTCATACCTTTTGGACTCATGAATGCACTGGCCGCTTTTCAACATCTTATGAATGATGTTTTTTATGAGTTTTTAGATGATTTTGTTGTTTTCTATTTAGACGACATTCTAATCTACTCTAAGAACACAGAAGAACATGAACTTTATATTTGTCACGTGTTATAGAAACTTAGAGATGCAAGATTATATGCCAAGTTGAAAAAGTGTATATTCTTCACTATTCAAGTTGACTTTTTAGGATACATCATTTCCAACAAAGGCCTTATGATGGATGCCAAAAAGGTTCAAACTATCATAGATTGAAAGATTCCCAGAATAGTATGACATGTGCAATGCTTTTTGGACTTTGCTAATTATTATCAAATCTTTATCAAGAATTTTTTTCAAGTTGTAGCTCCACTTACACATTTGACTTATAAAGACAAACTTGAGTGGAATAAAGAAGCAAAAGCATTATTTGATGCTTTAAACAAGGAGTTTATTTTTACACCAATCTTATATTGCATTGACTTTTTCAAGGTATTTTTTATTGAAATAGATGCATCAAATTTTGCTATAGGTGCTGTGTTATCATAAATGGAAATAAAAGACAAACTCCATCCAATAGCTTTCCATTTGAAGAAATATTCAACAACTAAGATTAATTATGAGATTCATGAAAAAGAGCTCTTTGTAATCGTAGATTCATTTCAAGAATGTCATCATTATCTAGAAGGCACCTCAAGTCCAGTTACCATATATATAGACCATAAGAACCTTGAGTATTTCATATCAATACGTATCTTGAATCATTGTCAAGCCCGTTGGAGCATATCTTTATCTAGATTCAATTTCAAGATCACTTATTAACCTGAAAAATAAGAAGGTCTATCAAAAGCTCTTTCTAGATGTTTTTATCTTGCACCAAAAGAAGAAGATGCATCTTTTGATCAATAAAGATCAATTCTCTTGAAGCCCAAGTATTTTCATCTTCGAGCTATAAAATCAACATTGACTATTGATTCAACATTTGTGAAGTAAATTCAATCAAGCATGTCTTTTGATCCTCTTGTTAAGGATATCAAGGATACTTCTTTTAAGTCTCATGATACTTCCAAGTTTGAATTCAAGAATAATCTATTATATTTCGAAGGACACCTATATGTTCCAAAAGGTGAAGCTTGATTATGTGTTCTTCAAGCTCATCATGACTTTCCAGCAACACGACATTTTGGGTACAATAAAACTTTGAAATTAATATCCAGAGATTTTTGGTAGCTACAAATATGGAAGGCAGTCAAAGATTTTGTATAAACTTGTGATGTTTGTTCAAGATCAAAAATTCCTCGTCATTGACCTTACAGACTTCTTCAACCATTATCTATTCTAGAACAACTATGGTCTTCTGTTTCTATGGATTTTATCATGGATCTTCCAATCTTAGGTTCTTATAACTCTATATTTATGATAGTAGATCATTTTACCAAGATGGCACATTTTGTACCATGTACAAAATCTATCAGAAGTGAAGAAACAACTAAGCTTTTCATTGACAATATCTATCACTATTATAGATTACTAGAGGATATTATATAGGATAGGAGGACTCAATTTGTATTAAGATTTTGGAGAACCCTATTCAAGATTCTAAAGGTGGATATAAAGCTTTTTTTAGCTTTTCATCCTCAAACTGATAGACAAACAGAACGGGTAAATCAAGTTCTAGAGTAATATTTGAGATGTACCATCAACTATCATCAAGATAATTGGACAACTCTTTTACCATTGATAGAGTTTGCATATAATAATTTGGTACATTCTTCCACTCAACAAACACGTTTCTTTACCAATTATGGTTATCATTCACATCTTGATACCTTTCACTTTTCAAAAGTTGATAATATTGTGGTGAAAGATTTAGCAAATCGCTTGTCAAAGCTACATACAATAATGAAGATACAATTAAAGGAAGCTCAAGAACGACAAAAGACTAAGGCGGATGCCTATTGCAAAGAGCAACCACAATATAATATGGGTGACAAGGTATGGTTATTTTGTCGTAATATTAAGACTATTCGTCTTTGTAATAAATTAGATTATTGTAGGCTACGACCTTTTCCTATTTGTCAACAATCGAGATGAAGATCTCCAAGAATGACATGTCCTTCCTCGAATAGATGGCGAGATATAACGTGTTTGATATCACAACCTTGGAAGAGACTCTTGTTGTTTAGTGATTTTATTAGATGTAGAAACAATTCCTGAAGGTGTTTCAAATGTTTTATTTGAAGGAAGTTACAAAGGCCTCAACAATGATCAAATAACATGGTAGTCTTCTTGCCCTAGTATGGGACATTATAGATGGTTGAGAGGACCTATCAACAATCTTTGAAGAAAGCAAAGATTGTAGTATGTAGCAAATATAATTTGTCACATCTTGGACTTCTTCAACATATGAAGACTACTCTTCATGGAATTCGTCTCTAGAAGGGAGGGTAATATCACAGACATATATATTTACATCAATAGTTATTTATATGATTAAGTAGAAGTAAGTAAATATAGAATAATTTCATAAAGTCTTCTATAAGAGCTTCTTAGAAGCTTCATAGACATGATTTTGACTTTAGATGTGTTTGTAGATTAGAAATTTGGCCAAAAAGCTAACCATGTATTTGTAGCTTGTGGAATAAGTTATCTTCATGTAGTAGCTTGTGGAACAAGCCAACTATGTGGTGTATACATAGATAACTTGCCTTGCAAAATAAGACATGTGGCTAGCAAAGTCAATACATGTTAGAGGTCCAATAGGACATCGCCACGTAGCTCTTAGTTAGATAGTATATATGGAGGCAAGAGTAAAGCCTTCTTCATTGTTATCAACACCTTTCTAGTCTTAGTCTTATTTTAAGACTTTCTAATCTTCTTGTTTTTGGCAATAGCCATTCTAGTTAATATTATATCACCTTTTGAGTGACTTTTTAGTTTTCTTTAGTGATAGAAGAGTGTATTGAAGATTCTCTTTCTTCAAGATTCATATCCTTGGCAATTAATCATACAAAAGCATTGGAAACTGAATCAACTCGTCATCAAGAATATTTTTTTTAATGAAAATATTGAATAAGAAGTACACATGCAGATACTTACTGGATTTAAAGAATTAGGCTCAAAGAAAAGAAGTGTAAACTCAAGAAGGTTTTCTATGGCCTAAAACAAGCTTTGTATGCTTGATATGAATATATTGACTCATAGTTTTATATCATCAATTTCAACCAAAGTACCTCTAATTTGAATCTCTACCTCTTAATTATAAATAATAAATCATTAATGGTTTTTTTTCTATGTTGATGATTTTATTGTTAATGGAAACAATCAACTTGGAATTTAGAAGCTTATCACTTGCTTCTTCATTACTTTTGACATGATAGAGCTTGAGAAAGCAATAATATACCTTGAAACTAAATTTTTTTGCAATCATACTAGGATTTATCTATATCAGTACATATACATACAAAAATTATTAACCAAATTCAATATACTATATTAGAAGCCTATAAATATACTTATTTATATTAATACAAAACTATGAGAATTTATGGAAGAGATAGGTACAAACTAAAGACAATATCAATTTCTAATTGGAGGATTACTATACCATGCACTCATCTCTAAAGTTGATATCAGCTTTGTTATAAGTTGCTTACATTGTTTTCTACAAAATCCACAACAACTTCATCCAAGTGTTGCCAAATAAGTGTTAAGATATCTCAAAGAGACCTCTAACTACAATATCCACTTTCCATCTACAAGCACAACAATCTTAGTAATATATATTAATGCTGACTATAATCAATGCCTAGATATTAAAAGACCAATCTCAAAAATACTACATGAGCTTGGAGATGCACCTATTAATTGGTCAAGTAAATGCCATCCAATTGTGGTTCTTTCTACCACCAAAGTTTAATAGCAAGTACTCAAAGCTGAATACCAAGCACTCATCAAGGCTGCAAAAGATGTCATCCACCTACAGCAAGTATTACAAAAACACATCTGCGATATGGAATCAACCTACATTTTCAGTGACAACCAAAGTTGTATTAAACTTGTAGATAACCCAATTCTTCATGCTCAAACAAAGCATATAGAAATTCAAGACCACTTTAGTAGAGAATAAAGTCAAAACATTGATATTACAGCTGACTATATACCCACACTACAACCTTTGCAACTAACTACATGCATATTGTTATCAGAACTAAATCTGTTCAACAACTCATCAAGCCATTCACAGGTGCAGGGTAGGATCCAATCACATGAACGCTGAATCAAAGTAACAAGTAACCAGATCCCTAACAAAATAATCTCCCACTACTCCAAGTCAGAAGAAGAACAAACGCAACAGACAAAAATTGTCTTAAGTCTTAGATGTAGAATCAAGAAATTATTCACAAAAGTAATCAAGATTATACCACGTTCAAATGTTGCGTCTGCAGCCTAACTTCAGACGCTGATCTAGTCGATAATGGCCTGCACCTCAACATAGCTACTCGATAAAATCTGTCTCATGGACTACAGAGCGAGAGGGAATTTAAATATAACACACTGCTATGGCATATGACATCAGCAACACTTATTCCGTCAGCCTGCCAACTCACTTTAGATAACAAAACAACACAAGTAGCAGTGTCGTTCTATCGCCATACTTAAAATAACAATTTGATATAGGCTAAATAGGATTCAATGTGTAATTTATGATGGATTCAATACAATGTTGCTTTACATTAACAAATAATCCAATCACAATAAGTAAAGAATTATTCTCTATACAATCTTCAATATTACTATTATTATAACTAAAGATAAATTTATAATTATTAGAAGAAACAAAGATATATTCTAATCTTCCGCCAACTGTGGACGTACTTCAGTTTTCCTTTTGGTCGCGCATCTCGCATCCATCCCTCATTGTCGGCGTGCAAAAGACGCTGCGATCCCCCAGGATACAATATTGAAGGCTCTTGCGGCACTGAATCTTTCCCTAAGTTGGAGACTACGGGTGCAGATTTGGACCAGACTGTGCCTGATCATATCACCGCCCACACAAGCTGCGAGGCCCACAGCAGCTGTATACTCCAGTTCCTAGCACTCCTCGCAAACGTCATGGCTCAATTCATCGCCGTCTTCTCTCCTGACTGTCAATTTAGCTAAGTAGGTTGTTTCCAAACCCTTCGTAGTTAAATTCTGAGCGGGCCCACCTCGGCCTCGAAGTCCTAACTGGCATAAAGTCGGAACCTCCACATACCACGATCGAAGTATCTGGAGGCCCTGAAAGTCACTTTCCTTACCTACCACACAAACCCCAAAGAATATGATTTTTCAGTTAGTTCACATTCACGTGAATCTAATATTAGTTTTAAGAAGCTAAAAGCACAAGTTACAGTGGTATTACAGTTAAAGACATCTCGTAATACCACTTGTCAAATTGCGAAACTTGAACAATATGTCCTAGAACAAAACGTGATCTCCAAACATTACCGAAAAGCCTTCATAGGTAAGTGTTGATATATCTGCAGTTCTGCGGTGTTTGCGACGATTAACCTTAATCGACGTTTGGCATCGATTAACCTTTAAGGCAGGTCAGGTGCATAGTGGAACCAAGTGGGTTGGTTTGCTTCATGGCGGGAGAGCTGGATACCAGGATTGGAAGCCGGATACATTGAAAATAGAGCAGTATCTCTTTTTGAAAATTTTGGCATGACACCTTCAAAATGAAGGTTAAACCGAAGGCGATGACTGAATTTAACCGTATCATGATCTTACGGTTTGGAGTGGGTGAGACAAATGTGTTCGACAGTCACGGCGGACACGGCCGATTCAGACTGCAGGTCCTCAACTGTACGGTCTATGCTTACAACTTTTAGGACGAGAAAACAGAATCGGCACTTCCTCGGTGTCCTTATTAGTTTATCTTATCTCCATTCCCTACATGGGTCAATAACATTCCCTAGACCAGGCTGTTTACGGGCAGCTTACCTCCAAGCTCGGTCTCCATGCCATCCACCACTGGGTTGTCGGGTTCCTAGGTCCAACTAGCAAGATCAGCCACGGCGGGACTCTACAAAACAAGGAGATCCCATGATCACCTGCCCAGTGTGAAAGATGCAGTGCTGTAAGTGTTTCTCTGCACATTGAAAATTGACGACGACAGATGGATGCGGGATGACCAAAAGCTAAATTTTAGCCTCTCCATAAGGACGGTGTGTGGGTGATTCTGCGCACGACGACCTGGACGAGATGCGACCTGGTTTGATCGTGCTAAAAGTTATCAAATCGGCTCCTTTCTTGGGCACAGCTGATGTAGTGGTATCATAGTACCCTCCCACAGTACTGACCGGGGTCGATTCCCCGGCTGCAAAGATTTTGCGGAGCTGCTCTGCGAGAAGGTTGCAGTTGTGCTAGTCTGAGAGGTGATTCACCTTTCCGCTACATCAGCTCTATTTTCCTTCAGAGGGGTGTGAGACACGTCGCCAACTACTACGGCGTCCATGTTAAACTCTCGGAAGTGCATAGGTGATCCGTTTCAGCCTGATCTGGCAGACACATAGATATGCAGTGAGTGATCGGAGCCAGACGTAAGGCACGCAAACCCAATTCCTGTTAACACTGGTTGTACAAGTTGAATACTGCGGTTGACTTCAAACACTCTAAATAGCCTTAAAAAAATTGAAGCTGTTCTCATGTTATGACAACAGAGGAACTACTATGACTGATCAAATCGGAAAGCAAAAGAAACTAGTGATGTAGAGGCTGGCACATGCTTCCGACTGCACCAAGTGCGAAGACACTCCAGCGATTGCACAAAAACAAAAACCATGAAGGTTTAGTGAACAAGTTGAAGCTGTTCTCATGTTATGACAACAAAGTTGAACAGTATGCTTAGGTTCAACCAAGTACAATTACTCTTACAGCAACCTGAGATAGGAAGAAGAGGCAATTCACGAAAGAAGTTCGTAAGCGATGACTTGTATAACCGAATAAGGTTCTGCTGCTTTCTTTGATCAGCCTCATTATGCAAGCGGAATCTTAAAATGAGAGAGAGGGATTGAGAGTTAGCAAAAAAATTAAAGGTATAAAAGGTGTTGTCTGACTCTGAGGTCAGGGGCACTGGCCGCGGAGGGGAGCAAAACCCAAGAAATTTTGGCGAAAAAATTGAGGACATTCAAGTCGAAAAACCTAAAGAAAAGCTCTACTCCAAAATCAAAAATGGAATCAAGCGACCCAAAGAAGGAGAAACAGCAGCTAGACGAGGCCAGTGATGAAAAGCTGATGAGAGTGAGGAGCGTGGAAGGCGACATTGAGGGAAGTGCAAGGGGGATGCACAGAAGAAAAGGAAGCATTAGCATCACTTCCGGGAGCAGATCATGAACCACCTAAATCCCACGTTTCTTCAAAACCCCTAACCTCATCAGATGCTTGCAGCTTCTCATTGTACACAATTGCCAACATAAATCAAGACCCAACCCCCCACCCACCTTGAGGCAGACCCGTAATGCCGCTCCAGAGCGATCCGGGAGTAGATCAACCCGGCATGAACTCCTCGCTACCATGTTACGGACACAAACTTCATTCCCGGAGTGCCTTTCAGAAGACTTTTCCAAAAACATCAGAGACAATACAATATTGCTCTACATTCAAAAATCGCATACCAAGGTTTCATTTTGGGACATAGAGTCTCTCAACTCTATAGAAAGTTGATGTTTACAACTGCAATGCAATCCAACTCATTGTGACTATAAAAGCACAAGGTGGTAAAGTTCTTCTATCAATGCAACAAGTATGCTAATACAACAAATAAGGATACAAATGAAAACTCAAGATACACAAAAAAATGGAATCAAAGAAACAAGTGGTTCTTGTTTATCATTTATTTTGTTGTATTGAAAAAAAATATTACTATCTTACATTGGAACCATTATCTTTCTTAAGAGAATAGGAAAGATGTTTCTTATAAGTTGTTGTAGCTTGAATGTTTATATGACTATTTTGTAATGTTCAATTTTAGATATGATGTTTTTCTTTTTCTTTTTCTTTTTTCTTTTCTTTTCTTTTCTTTCATACATGTAGCTTTAAAATTAGAAGATTATATATATATATATATATATATATAATTTTTGTGAATAGGACATAATGCTAATTTTTTATATTTTATACGTTGTACTTATTAATTTTGTTTAATATTATAAAGATTTATAGACATGTTAACATTTAAGATGACAATATGTAATGGTAAATACCTAAGTAGACTTGTGTGAATTTTTTTATTATGTTTTAAATAAATTAGATCTCTAAGTTATTATTGTTTAATATTAATATGAAAAATATAATTTTATATAAATATATCTTTTTTTACTTTCAATTGAAGAATATTTAATTTCAGCATAGTATTTTGTACTATGAAATAAAAAATTTATATAGTGTTTTAATTTAATTTTATATGATATCTTTTATGCTAAGCATTATTAGGTATTCTTAAATAATTTAAAAAAAATTAAAGACAATCTCAAAACCATGTAGATTTTTTTTCTTTGTACATGAATTGTCTTATAAGATTAAGAAAGTATTATATGTACCTAAGATTTATTTCTTTGGTTTGAATTTCATTTTTTTCTTAAATCAAAAAATCTATAGTTCAAATAAGATTTTTTGATTTTATTTATTTTTATTTCTCTATTTGACTATTTATGTTATAAAAAAAATTGAGTGCTTTTTTCTTAAACACTAAATTATATTATTTTAAAAAAATATACACTTTTATATAACAATATCTTCACAAAAATTTCCAAAAATTGATTTCTTTTTAAACAATGTAACCTTCATCTGTTTGATTATAAAACACATATTGTTTTTCTTTTGACACTGTCTTGTAACAACTTTTAACTCTTGGAGATTTTTTCATTTTTTGAAGAAGAATATTAAGTAGATACAACCAAAAGCATTATCCATTGCAGGCCAATATTAGATGCTTGGCGTATATTGCAACCATAAAAATGGCACCGCCATATAAGTATCTCACTGAGCTTCGAGAAGCTAGACTGGAAGAGTCCAGGTGAGGACAAATTCCCAGAGTTCTACACCTACTCTGTACAAAGAGACTGACTGCACTGAAAGCATTGTGAGACTCCAATTCCATTTCTACACTCAAGCTTCACTTGCTTCATACGAAGTCTCTGAATATCCTAAGAACTCTTTCTGCAAGTATTCCAACTGTCCTATGTCTAAAATGAAAGATAAAGCTTGTGAAAGCTTTCACAACAAGACTGTGATGAGAGAGGGAGAGAGATCAGAGAAAACAGCAACGTATTTTATTCATGGGCCTGGTGGGAAGTTTGCTGTCATTCGAAGATGCTCTAGAACTCTCACAAGTCCGTGATAGTTCACAGCCTTAAGTCCCCGGCGGAACCCATTTCCGTAGATGGGAGACGTGTCGTTGGCAATTTGGTGGAGGTAGAATTTTCCTAGACGCTCTTGAGCAGGGCTGGTTGCATTTGTTGAGGTTCTGTTCTGGGATCTCTTGAGCTCTGCTGATAGCCATATGTGCGACATGACTTGACAGATGCCCTCCTCCACTTCCGGGGACATATGAGGAAACCCTCCTGAAAACAACAAAAGAATCCGCCAATAATTCAACAAGAGAAAATAAATGAAGCTTAAAATAATAAAGGTGAACATTAGGGTTTACGTAGTAGGCAGGTAGGGATGCTCTGCAAAGACATGTGCATGAGCCTCGGCAAGTACCACACCTGTCAAACGTAGCCATGCGTGCATAAGCTCGTGAGCTAAGATTGCACCTGTGAGCAACCTGCAAAAACCAATTTCAGAGCTAATTAGCATGATTGCTGTCATAGAATCGGTTTTGAGCTTTTCTGCAAAATTCTTATGTAGGTATCTGGAAATTCGCCAAAGGTTTTATAGAATGCAGGGTAAGAAATCGTCTTTCTGAAGTTCTGGATTACGATGGAGGTCTAACCCTTCATGTTCCTGCGTTTCGTTACCTGGGGAGGCCGTAGAGAACAAGGATGGCAGTGACCTCACAATGGCGGCGGAGTTGTCTTGGCTCAGTCCACAAACTCCAAGGACCTCTGGAGAAAACTGGTTTCCCTCCAAACACCTGATTACAAGTTACAGACATAACCGGGTCATGAGAACATCAAAATAACTGATCGTAGTCGCGCTCGACTAAACGTGAGGAGAACGATCCTATGGTGCACTATTCCAGACAAGGTGGCAGAATTTGCTGAGCATATCTTTTTAAGGAAAATATTGAGAGAAGCATTAAGTTAACTATGCCACGTCGCAAGTATGTATAATGTAACAAGTGGAAAAGTGTGCGAGACTAACCGTTGTGATAGTTTGCTCTTCTGAAAGGCAAAGGCCTCGTGTCTCCGACGTCATGTGCATTCCCTACAAATGAAATTCATCACATATATGAAAGTGGGTAATTATGTTTTCTCACCTCATTCACAGATATCCTTAACGCAGTCAGGTTTATAAAGGGTAAAGGAGGACATGGAGTTCATACCTCTTTCTCGCCTTCTCGTGCATCATTGAGGGCACTGCGCTCAACTAAGAGCATAGGAACTTCCTGATCTATCATCATCCCCACGTTCTTGTAGAATTTTAGTATCTCCCGATACAAGGGTTGGCATTCCTTGGTGTCAAAGACCGCAGTTTCTAAGCACTCTAAACAGAGCTTGCGTCCATCCGCTAAGGGTACATACTGCTCATCATGGGTCTGCAGTCGCCAGGAAATTTGCTCAGTGTCAACCATTCAGTACAGTTTCCATGAGTGCGCTAATACGATTTCGAGAATTATCTGATTAGAGTTAGTATTATTAGAAACAACATGAAAAGTATTAAGAGCATTCGGTGTTTGTGGGAGGTGCTCTACCTCGACGCGGTCACAACTACAGCAGCGTGGCGTACCATCCGCCTCGTGTTTGGGACAATATTTTTGATTCCAAAATGGATGCGATCGATACTCTATCAACCCAGCTGCATTTGTGGGAATCTGCAAATGTCACGTGATTTTCTGTCAGAAACTGCCGCAGACTTATGAAGGAAATGATGCAAACTAAACATGCTGATACATGACAATTAAGCACTTCAATTGTGCGAAGAACTTATCTCAATAGTTCTAATCAATTAGAAGGATAGGATGACTCACAAATTGGAGACAAACTTCGCACTTAGGGTGAAACAACTCCTTGTAACAGTCTCGATGATAGGGTTCACCTTCTTGGACGGAAAACTGTAGTCAGAACAAAATAATCGCACGTTCAAAGAACAGAACCATGATGCATACTATTCCTGTACTGCAACTGCTTCGAAGATCCATAGCACCTACTGCTTTTTGTAAGGTAAATTTGAATAACAATTGTAGCAGAGTCAATACCTCGCGTTCTGCAATAGGTCTGCTGCACAATTTGCAAGCAAAACAGCTGGGATGCCAATTCTTCCCCAAGCAGCTTAAGAAACGCCCATATCCAAGGGGTTTCTTGCACCCAGCACAAGGGTTCGTCCTGTTTGGACTGCAAGTAGCAACACAACATTATCACAAGATTCCAGCGAAATCTACTCAGATGAATTGGACAACTTGGAGAGCTCCATGTCCAGGCACAACAAGGAGAGAATCTGTAGCAGCCTAAGATGAGGCTAGAACACTGAAGCTAAGTAGATGTGAAAACGAAGCAGTGAAGGATGAACAGATGCGAACTTTTGCACTATAGGGCGGAAGCCAGGGGGCTTAGCGGGAATTTTCCGAGGTGCACTCTGCTCGAGATAAATACTCTCCTGCAAAGCTCTGGCTAGGCTCTCATCATCCTCCGTGTTCGGCACATCTCTGCTTCTTCTTCTTCCTGACAATTTTACGAAACCCAAAGGACAATGTTCATTAGCCACTTGGCTGTTACAAAGACCAAGCATCTGTGCCATGGTCATGGAAGTAATGAGGTCACATTTGTATCGTTTTAAGTCATCCAGCGTACTAGTCGACATCCAACAACGTAATTAGAAATTTTTATGAAAAAACCACCCTAATGAAGGAATTGGTGCACTACTCACGATCTTCTTCTTCAGAGAGAGACAGCGCAATGGCGAGGTTGGTGGCCTCTATACTCTCGGCATCGATCTGCGGATAGGAGACTCTTTCGTTGTGATAAGTACGGGTGTCATTGGTGTTGGGCGGTGACTGTGCCACAATCTCATATGGCGAGCTGTCGTTGGAATATGAGGGCTCGTCATAGGAGTTTAGTGGTATGTTGTAGCTATATAATGGTATGTCGCTAGGGTATGATGGCTGGCTGCTGTTACTGTCAGAGGGTTTCTCCTCCACATTCGAAGCCCATTCTTCTCGCCTTGGTTCCTGCCACCATTATGCTTTATTCTTAATTAAGTAATTTGACAAAATTCGTGGTTTCTGCGTTTGATCTAACTGCATGAGCGGTTTATATACTTTCTGCTCACGTTCTTGGCAACTTTGTGAGAATCGATTTCGAAACCATCTTACCGAGAAGATACTGGGGCCTTGCCAGCCTTCATAGCTCCGATGGGGTACATTTGAGTACTGGGTATACGCATCGCCTTCGCGGTAGTGATAAGTAGATGATCCAGGAGTATCGAAGAGTCTGCCGAGCCACGCCATTTGGGCAAAGGAATTCACTCTAGTGGATTGGAAGATATGTCTGCCAATAAAAATTTAAAAGATAAAATTAAAACGATTAAGAAGAATGAATCTGAACTTCGGACTAAAGCATCAATTTTACCGAGCAAAGAGTATTCACAAAAATCATTCAACAAGCTCTGAGCTAACGATCCCCACTCCAGGAGAAGCGTAACCATGCGTTAATTGTACTCGGCAACTTCTCCATCGACTTTTGCAATTCTACGCTTTGGTTGACATGCAGACACGATACCTCGGGCTAACCGGGGATAGTAGAATTCACAAATGTCTGGAAAATGATCGAAAGGAGCAGTCCCAGAGCTGAGTGACGCAGGTGGAAGCCAAACTAGCAAATCGATAAAGCTAAACCCACCTCCCTGCCCAAACCGAAATCTGTTTCGAGGCGGACCCAACAGGGAATAAACTCTATTATGTAAAATCTTCGACCGAGCAGCCGAAACAAACTAGATAATCATGGGAAAAGATTAACGCCCAATAAATTGCTCACTAGCATGACGATCTAACACAATCACGACCGCTCAATAAGTCTAAGAATACAAAATCCTTTTCAAGACAACCAAAACACACATGGTTTCTCTCAAATCAAAATCATCGAAACTAACCGGCGAAACTAAAATACCCAATCGTTCTGCATGTGCTTGCATCCTCAGAAGAACCACCACAACGTACAGCAGCTTACCACCAACCAAAGATTTGTCACAAGCGATGGTTCACGAGCCGTCGTCCCAGCCACGGCGATGGACAGCGTAAAATTGGAGTGTTCTAGATGGTGAAAAGAGAGTAAAATGAAGAGACTCTAAGAGCTAATGTAGGCTAGACGGTGGCACATTACCATATTTTTCGCCTGGTCCTTCCAATCGTACTATGATTCACGAATTTGATGAGATCTTTGAACTAACCAGAACATTTTCCGTTGGTGTGGCAACCAAATTCGATAACAAGTACGATGTTCAACTGGATAATAGTATAATACATTCATCGAGGGTATTTTGGCACTCAGGCGATGATCGAGGTATCGTCAGCCTGGTTGAAGGTTGTAGTGTTTCGAGACAACCTAGAAATATGGGGTCATAAGTGACGAATGTTTCGGCGTCAGGTTTGAATATGATTATCAAGTGATTGTCATTTAACTGTAGCAGAAGATCTGTAAACTATGAGAGGATATGCCAGAGGCCATGAAGTTCAGGGCTTTTTTCCTACGTATGTGGTGCACTTTGGCTTCGAAACTCGCGGTCTGGGAGTCACAAGATTGTTTCTCAATCCTGGTGCAGAAGCTGAGAAACGAACATCCCCGTGAAAATCTAGAAGCTTCTTTAACCACGAGCAACTTTCACCACCATCACCAGGTCCAAGCAACGAAAGGTCCCACGGGTCTACACGATCGTCCGGGATTGGGTTCTAGCCACCCAAGTTTGAGAACATGGTTCAACCGTCCCACCGCAACAGCAATTGTTTAAACATAAGTGATGAATAGATAAAGCTCCCGCATACATGTTTGCATCCTGTCACTCACTCAGAAAGGGTTTTTCACCACCCCTCTACAGTTGACCCAGGTGCTGCTCTCTGATAGGACTTCGAACCCTGCAAATGCGGCATGCCTGTCGTGACTCTTGACCGAGTATTGGGATTCATGCCATGTACACAAAAACTTGTTTTTCCCCACTTCAGTATAACGCATGATTTTCCACGCTCCACCATATCACAGGTTGTAATGCATCAACTGCCGTGATTGTCAAACCCGCCTGGGATATCCCTTCAAGCAAAAGCGCCGATGATCAAGCACTGGAATCGCTAATGAGGCCCGCTTTCTAGTCGTCCTTCGCCCTGATTCTATCCCTTGAGAACCTGGCACTTTTCCCGACAGATTCATTTTCCTCTAAGCCCCACCACCACCCTTCTCACATCAAGCTCGCGCCCCTTCGAAGCGAGAGATGGTCCCCACATTCTCCAGAGTTATGCACCCAAGTCGCTGTTCTGCTGAAGGTTGTCCGTGTATAGTTCGCTGTTTCGTTAACTTAAATTCGCCCCGCTTCCTACCTGATATTCTCAACGACTTTGAAAGTTAACGGCGCGCACGCTGACACACGCGTACAAATGTATGGTTATTTATTTATTTATGTACATATATGCAAACAGACACCACGAGTTGGTTCAAATATGGGCACATCTATGAAACCAAAACAAGTTGAATCTCAGTGTCACACATCTTTCAGAGCATCCTTGCGGTAAAGCACATCATGACGGTCCACTTCGATTTACACAGCATCAGGTCTTGCTTGCAAATCATGGCATGAACGGTAGCTCCGAGAATGTTTCAAGCTAAAAGCTACTCATTTCTCGGAATCATGATCATTCATCTGCTTCCACCGACAAACCAACAGATTAGGGGGCCTCGTACGACTTGAATAAGTGTTGATAAACTCTGGATTTATTGCAAACAAATCGTTATTCTATTCAAGGTGCTAAATCATTGCAGCCCAGGTTGAAATTAAGTCGTCAGTTACGTCTTCTGCCAAGCAGGTGGTGTCGGTGTTAGTGTGCCAATAAAGGTGGGGTTGATGTTGAGTCAACCAAATAAAGTTGCACTTAGCTGATTCCAAAGCATGTGTTGTTCGGAGCAAGTGTTTTAAAATTTCAAAGCATGTGTCATGGGATGTTATAATATTATTTTTGTATATTGCATTGCATGATCTTTTCTAGATAAGGTCTTTTTATTCTATAGTTTTTGTCTTGTTTTTGTCTTTTTTAACTTATTTGATGATATTTAATTAGTTGTAAGTTATGATGATTTTATAATAAATATTAGAAAATATGCACAAATCGAATCTTTTTAGCTTATTTTCAAATTTACTTATTTATTTAATTGAATTTAATTAAATTATTCAATTAAATTTACTTAAATTATTTAACTAAATAGATTAAAAGAATTTTTACACTATTGATATTTTCTTACAATACACTACAAAAGATCTATTTTTAGATTGTAAGAAATAGGATTTATTAGATAAATTTTTTTTAATTATTTTAAAAAAACTGAAGTTATAAAATTTTGTCTTTATCAAAAGATCATACTAAATCTACTTTAATATAATTATTTTTTCATTTAAAATAATAAAATATATTTCTTGTAAATTGAATATTAAAACATAGATTTATATCTTAAGAATCAAATTAAGATTTAGTATAGAATTGTTTTGATTTTTTGTGTAAGCATACTTTTATTAATTTTCTTCTTTTAATTTGAATTAAACATAGATGTTAGTAGAAGCAAATAGTTTTATATAATTTGGTTGATAAATATATTTTTTTAAATAAAAAATACATATATTTTGTCAATAAAGCATTCTATTAATAACATTGTATTTGAAAACATATCTATATAAATATATATCATACATTTCTTAAAGAAAAAAAATTAATGTTTCTTAATGAACATATTATCTATTCAATATTAAAAAAAATTAATTGTTATATTTATGAAGTAATATAAAATTTTATTTTATATTCATAATATTATTAATTGTTACATATTAAATCTGTTCTTTCTTTAAAAAAATATATAAATAAGAATATAAAAGAGTAAGTCTGGAAGTCATAGAATTCATCTAAAGATTTTATTTTAATTGTCAACTTCTAATTTTAGTAAGAAATAAATTTATTATTGCTAAAATAGAAAAGAATAGAAACAATAGTATTTCAATTTAAAAAATCTTCTAACTTTTCTAGAGTGGCTATGTATAAATGTAAGAATAAATATTAAATTTACTCTTTATCAATTAATTCACATGGACTTCCTTCAAACAAATTCTCTACACCATTTTTTGTATTATTTTTTGCTTAATGCCTATAATTGTGTGAAGGACATGAATCTTAAAGAAAGAAATCTCCAATATACTCTTGTGACACTAAAAAGAATTAGAAAGTCACTTAAAGATGATATATTATTGAACTAGAATGGCTACAGCCAAAAAAAAGAAGAAAGTCTAGAAACAAGACTAAGGATTAGAAAGGCATTGACAAGAATAAAGAAGGTTGCACTCTTGCCTCCATATATACTCTTAACTAGGAGCTACGTGGCAATGTCCTATAGGACCTACAAAATGTGTTGACTTTGCAAGATATGTATCCTAATTTACAAGGCAAGTTTTCTATGTATGCACCACATAGTTAACTTGTTTTGCAAGCTACCAACATGTAGTGAACTTGTTAACCATGTTTCTAACCTACCAATCAACTACAAACACATTTAAAGTCAAAGAAAAATCTATAAAGCTTCTAGGAAGCTTCTCTAGAAGGTATTATGAAATTAATCTATCTTTACCTACTTTTACCTACTTCTACCTAATCATATAGGTACTTACTAGAGTACCTATGAATGTCCGTGACAAATTGCTATAGAAGTTTTTTTTTTTTTTTTTTTTTTTTTCTTTTAAGTTTCTTACTTTTAGAGTGCCACTATAGAAATAATCTATAGCATAGATATGTAGCTTATAAGCTCCATAGTTCTCAAGAGATTTTTCAATGGCATTTTTAATAATTAAAATATAGAGATGCAAGATTGAAATTATTATCAATCAATTTAAATGTTTTGTTAAATTCCAAATTTAATTCAAGATTATTTTAATTTTCTTACTTTTATAATTTTATTATATTTTATTTATATTTTATTTATATTTTTTATATTTTTTATAAATAAAAATATTATCTTTTCAAAAATAAATTATATATTTATATTCTTGGCCAAATTTATACTAGTGTTAATCTTAAAAGTTTTACTTATTGAATAATAATTTAATGATTAGAATTATTTGAATTGATATTATGTATTATTAAAAAGAAGAATAAAACTTAATATTTAATAAATTTAAAGATCAAATTTTGGCACTTAATAGATATAAATACGTCTATAATTCAATAGATCAAAAATAATTTTTTTCTAAACTTTGCTTTACTTTAGAGATTAATTTTTGGTCACTTTAAATCAATACTAAATAATTATTTCTATTAATAATTGTTAATATATAAGAGATAATTTTTTTTTTGATAAAATTTATAAGTTGTAGCTAAAATTGATATTAAAAAAAAATTATCGCCAACTATTTGTTTAAGTTAGATTGCATAAAAATCAACTTTTATAGAGGCTACAAAAACTAATCTTATATAAAAAAAAATATAGAAAAAAACACCAAGTAGTAAGTTGAAAATAGATCTTGCATCTATAATTAATTTATAGAAAAAATTTGTATTAAAAAAAACAATAAAAATAGGGAGTTATTAAATCATATCTTAATGTTGTTAAAGCCATACCATCCAAACTATGTGATGATTAATTTTAAAGCATAAGAAATGAGGGATGAGAATAGAGAATAAGAATTGGAGGTTGAAAACTAGGAATGGGAGACTATCAAGGATATGAATCAAGGCAAGAAGAATCTCAAAACACTCATGTATAACTTAAGAAGAATAAATATTTACTACAAAAGTATTATAGTATTAAGACTAGAATGGCTATTGCCAAAGACGAGAAGAATTTAGACTCTTGAGACTAGACTAAGAATGAGAAAGGTGTTGACAAGAGTGAAGAAGGCTTCACTCTTGCCTCCATATTTATTATTTAATATCAAAGCTTTATCTTTTTTAATGAAGAGTAGATTACCTATTTTTTCT